CTTGGAAACTTTTTCCACATTTTGAAAATTTTGTCCGAGAAATTGTTGGATTTTTGTCCGATTTCAAATTTTCCCGGGGCGTACGATAATTTTGTGCCGCGTACGATAATTTTGCGCCCCTGTGTCCATCGAACGAACTAAAGTCTCTGGGATCACTGACAACGACCCTTCCCCGTCCCATCATATTCATCAGCATCTTCTCGAATTTTCCAAAACGTCCGGTTCGATGCAATAAACAAAGCACTCGAGAACCTTTTAGACACACACAGAATCACACACACAACTTAACAGATTACAAAGAACAGAACACAGACCGTCTTTCTTTATTTCGACTATCAGTTCCTTGGTCCTTCATTCTTTCGTCGCCTACTCACTTATCTATGTTTACTCTTCTACATTCAAAACTCTCCTACATAAGTAATATGAAATGAAAGAAAAAGAATATTTTACCGTGTGTATCTTTATAAAAACACATGAATGTATTAAATAGTAATAGTTCAGTTTTGAATAAGAACATAAAAAAATTGTGAGAATTCTGTTCATTAAAATGAACCACTTCTTTAGATATTTTCATAGCTTTAAATTGTAAGAAATTGAACAATTTTCCAGCAAATCGGACTTTGTATTAGAAGATTATCATTTAATAAGAAGTAACAGATTTTTCGTGCCACTTTTGTGAATCTTATGTTATCCTGATAAAATGTTCCTTTCGCGATATTTCCCAAAATTTTCCCCTTACTTTAGATGTTATTTAAGAAAAATATCATGTAAAAGATGTATAAATTACTTTTTGTATTACCTCCTTAATCTTTATGTCTTCAAAGTTCATAAATTTACTAGTGGCATATATCAGAAACTTATTATCTTAATGGAATAAAAAGAGTCTCATGAAGAAAAAATTCTGAACTGGAAATGTTGATAACTTACCATAGGTTAATAATTTATTATCAATCAATAAATTACCAAGAATTGATAAGTTATCAATTAAGTAATATGTAAATCAAAAAATGCTAGAACTTTTCACTCTTGGTAACGTTGGTCTTGGTAAAAGTGTTCAGTCGGTAACTTACCTAGAGAGTAAAACAAAAAATTGAAATGAAAATAAATCACTTTATAGAATACAGAAGTTCCTAGAAACTCAAAAGTCCACTAATCACGTAACAAAGTTCATCTTAGTTCTACAATTGACCACTCGGGAGCGATAGTAGAAACTTAACACAAACACTATCAAAGGATACTGTATTCTTTGCACATATATAATATATATGCATATATAAATGCATTTCTAAATACACACACATATTCATACACTAAAATATATCATATACTACCATTTACTATTAAAGAATGCAATATTTTTTGATAGTATTGTACTATAATCGTTTTATGTATTTACCATCTGGTGGTCAAGTACAGAACTAAACAAACCTGGCTATGTAAGATGTGAACTTTCAAGCTTTTAGTATTCTTATAATCTTTAATACTTATCAAGGATTGAAAAATGGAACCAAGTGTCGGTAAGTTACCATCATGTGGTAAGAAAGAAAACTTTACTAATAAATCTGTTGATTTAAAAATAAAATTAGT